TCCCAGTACCAGAAAAAAAAACAAAAACAAAGAAAACTGAAGGACAATATTTCTTTTACTTATTAGCCTGCCATGAAAATCCTTTACCTATTGGGGATGTTAATTTGCTATTTGTTTTTCATCATCATTAAGATGAGAAAGCTAAAAGTGACTTCTCATTTTCAGATTTAATATCATATTTTTGTAAATTTTCATGTGCAATCCCTTCTCTGGCTAAATAATAAGAGATCTGAGAAAACATCTTATGTACGTGCGTATCTTAAGTATTCTGCACATCTGTTACAAAATAAATTCTGAATAAATTCTTTTTATTATCATTGATGCTATTGGATAAACTATCAAGATCAATTAAAATGTTCATCTTATTCACAGGTGAGATTTCTGTCAATTGTTAATTTGCATATGAATGATCAAACAGGATATACAGGTGAGTGGGCTAGATTAACCCAAATATAATAACAATATTCCAAAAGTGGCAAAGAATAATGCAATACATAACAATGGACAAATCTGAATAATACAATCAACTGATCATGTTATCTGCAGTTATAATCTATTATGAAGTTGGTGTGTGTTTGTGTGTGTGTTTGTAAACATGTGCATTAGAGCATAAGGCTATAAGAGGTGTACAGGTTTGATATACACCTCATTTAAATCTTGAAGGTACATTTCCCTAACTGTGTAACCACGTGTGTGTTTATTTGTAATGTAGAAATAATAAGCCTTGCCTTATTTAATGATTTAATGGAAAATAAACTACTTCACAATAAACTGCTGAATTCTGTACACAATGATAGGAGATATCCTGTTTGCATCTTTACCCTCTCTTATAAAATTTAATTTTCCTTTGAGGATTTAAACCTTAATCTCACATAATCTCTATGAAACAAGCAACATATTAAGAACATTTTTGCTTAGAGATAGCACATATATCAAGTTAGGACAAAAACTCTTCAAGAAGTGTGAATATTAAGCAGAGAGTTACAAGCAAGGTTTGCAGCTGATTCATTTAAGTTGTTGCCTTCTGAAGACACCATTTATTCTTTCCATTAATATTTGTAGAGCAATCTTATGCCTGTTTTTGCTGCCTATTCAACTCTTCCTTTGATTTTGTGAGCTGTGCCCAATTATTTCAGTAAATTGTTTCTCCCCCCCAGTTAAACATGGTTAATTTCAGCTGCAATTAAAAAACATTAAGAGGACAATTAAAGGTAGGTAAATTTGGATTTCTTAGTCTTTAAGCATCATGTATAACTTTCCTTGACTTAGATGACAAAAATTTATACTTTCTGCTTTTTTATCAATCTGATCATGTGATACAAATTAAGAAATGTGATTTTTATGAAATGAATTTTATTTAGAAACTTTCAAAATTCTAACTTAGAAGATCCGTGCTGAGAACTGGTGTTACAGCATAATTTACTGTATCTCTAATAATATATATAATGAAAATTGGAAGGTGGCTCAAATAAAGTATTTCATACTTAATATTTTGAGATTTATCTCTGTATAGTAAGTATAATAGTCTAACAAAACATATATTTTGTTTTTACAGTACCTGAGTGTGTAGATAAATAAACAGATAGATAGATAATCTTTTTTACTTTTAGTTAAAATTATGTTAAAATATCAGCATTTGATATACAGCATGCTGCATGACTCACTGATTTTTGCAGCTTTTCAAATTAACTATTTTTATTGCCAACATTTTCCTGTGTGTTACTAGCACAGTGTAGTTTTCATAAAAAGTAGATATTCATAAATTATTTAGCAGAAAGTGTACAAATATATGCATGAATACAAATGACTTAAAATATACACTGAATTATTCAAATACTGCAAATGTGTTGTATGACATGATGATTGTTTTATCTGAGACATACAATACCAGGAATGTCAAAAGGATACAGATAGATATTATCTAAGTATCTTTGAACATAAATATAAATATTCTATATTTAAATTGTTAGATATGCTAAAAATGATGCCTATGACTTTTTGTTCTACTATGTTCACAGCTGAACTTATTTGTAATAATATCATGTTTTTATTCATAGGCTATTTTTAGTATGGGGGTCTTTGCCTTTCTTCAGTAGCTTAAAGAAATGTACTGGCTGATTTCATAACTTAGCACTAGGGTCTGAGAAGATATCAAAATAAAGCGTAAACACCATTTACAACATGTTTTCTTGTTTGTCCACATTTTTCCATCCCTCAAAGCCTGACTTACACTAGCACTCCTTCAAATGAAGTCTCATGTCCAGCAAAATCAGAGTGATCATGATTTATATCACAAGTTTTCATTTTTTATATTCATATTGTTTAATTTTATGCGTTTTTGTTACTTCATCAGATTGTAAATTCCTGGAGGCTGGAAAAAATCCTTTATTCATCTTTATTTCCTATCAGAATTTTCCTCAGCATCCTCCTGGACAGACCAGGTTCTTAATAAATGCACGTTCAGTCAATGATCAGTCTGCCAAAGCTGGCATGTGGAATGAGTCCATGGACCTATGATGGCTAGGCGCTCTTGCCGTTCTCATTGGCTTGGATGAGACACACAGAAGTCAAGTTTCTATAGTTCAAAAAGATGATCATTAGCCACAGGTTGTATCCTGTTCTTCCAATTTCAATAGCTGTAGCCACATATTTAGTATTTGGGGCCAAAACTTGCATGAAATACTAAGAAGCTTCTTAAAAACAACAAGTCAAAATTGCTTGCCCTCAATCACCTGTACTTGCTTTAAAATTTATTTTTTAAGTAATTTCAAGTATCACCTAATTTTTACCTTTGGATTTGAGTGTAGTTTTAGGTTACAAGTAAGAAGAAGGTAACTAAGTGTGCATGTCTGCTGGATAGAGGGAAAACTAGAAAAGTATCTAGCATTTCCTGATCTTTCTATGAACTGCTAGCCCATCACTGGGTCCCAGTTCATTTAATACTTAGTTGAGTCACAGTTTAAAGCATTATTTACTCCATGTATTTATTTAATTTTCAAAAACATGGCAATAAGGCAGGCATCACAATTACCTTTCCTTTTTTGCTGTCTTAAGGAGAAATTTATAACTCTAAGTGACATCCCCTGGTGAGGGTGAACCGTTTAGAGATTTCTATAACAACCTGATGCAGCACACACGCCATAAAATTGACACCACTGCCCTAGACCACTTGCAGCTCTGCAAAGAGAAAACTGTCTTCAGAGACTGCACAGGCATTAGCGCATGTGCACCAAACTACAGTGAGGGCACTGACCTCTTAGCATATGTCATAAATGGGTAAGGGAAGAAAAATAACCAATATAAAAGTTCAGAAAAAAATATAAGCTTATTGTCTGATGACAAACAGGAAAGAATGGAGGAAAATTAAGAACAAGATAAGGAATACCAATGCAATCAATCAAAATGTTTTAAATCTTCCAATTGATTTTAGAACTAATTTACGATATTTTTACTGTGCTTGTGTTTTTGTCCATACCCTCAACTTCAGAAAAGCATATGCCTCTTTCTACACATTAAATTAAACGATTTAAGCAGAAGGCGCCCTCTCATATGTTGCTGATTTATGCCTCCAAGTTTACTGTTGTTGATTGTTCATGACGGCCGAGACCTAAGACGTGGAATACACCAACCAAAAAACAAATTTATTTGTCCAGGTTAGTATGAGAGATGAAAACGTGTGAGCATAGTTAGGTAGCTTTTTTGTATAACAGAAGTTGAACTATTTCAAGGAAAAGTCAAAAGATTATTCGAGCATTTGTGACACACCTGGAGCACAGGTGTTATTCTTAGATATTATTAATAACTACTGAATAAAACATAGTTATTCACCCATGTCCAATTTATTGTAATCATAAAGAAACAATGAGCAAGACTTCACATTACTACTTTACTACTTCCTATTAGTGTGAGAGAAAAGAAAAGAGAAGAAAAGAAAACTAACACATGTTAAAGTACTAAGTTTATTATGTAAGGAAGAAAAACATATTAGGAGATATTCTTAACTGAGAATCATTTTCTAATTTATAAATAGTTAAATATTTTATAACACTTTTTAGTCAATGTCCAGATTTAACTTCTAAGCATGAACTATTTCAAAATAGTTTATGAGTTTAGCTAATAAATTGAATATAATTAAATATATAAAGCTATGATTTTTTTACATTATAGTCTTTATATTGAAATCATACTTTCATAATGAGAAATGAACTTCTTAACAAGTCAAATCAAGTAATACAGTATTCATATTTTTCAAGTATAATTTATTTATTTATAATATTCACCCAAAATATGAGAAGTATTTACTGCACACAAGCAAACAAACACATGTGTACACTCAAACACACAGGCAGATCTAAGACTATGCATTAGGGGTAAAGGTAGAAAGTAGAATGTTGGGATATTCTGCAATACTTACATCTCATAATTGTGTTAGTCCTAAAGAGACTATTTGGCTGTTACTATCTGTCTTGCCTAAACATAAGGTTGCAGAAAGGGTATTTTAAGTAGTGTGTATAAACAGATAGTGTATTATTTAAATTTTTATAAGTAAATACAGTGAACAAAGCAAATATATACTATCCAAGCAGATTAATATGATCAATGTATTATTAAATTAATCCCTAGTTTAGTTTACACAGCTACTGTTTTAACACATGAGTTTACCCTACAATTAGGAGAGGCATCATTTCATTTCTGGTCACAATTCGTTTTGAAAGAGGCTCAGGATAATTGACTGAATAGAAACACTGGCTAGGGTTGGTGGATAACAATGATGACTAAAAATACTTCTACATAATGGAAGCTTTGGATAATCAAATGACATTTTGAATTACTAAAATATTGACTTGTTCTGACCCTATTTTACTTCTACTGTTTGGGCCCTATACAAATAAAATGGCTCTTTATATTCAGTGAACACAAAAGCCTCATAATAGAGAAGCATGAGTTGTGAATACAGGGACATTGATGTAAAATAGAAGAAGAGAGCAATGTGCTTTTACCTCACAGGGCTGTTGGCAGAGTCTGGGTCATGAGCTGCAACTGTGCCGATGATATTCCCAACTTGGGTCGCTTCTGACACCTCCATGGGATACAAAGGGGAAGAAAACACTGGCGGCTCGTCCACATCTTCTACAATGATCTTCACCGTGGTTGTGTCACTGAATGGCCCCAAGCTCAGAAAGCGAGGATCTGCGTCTTTATTTGCAGCTTCTATCCGTAGTGTGTAACTAGTTTTGGCTTCAAAATCTAGTTCCTGTAAAGGAAGTTTTTAGACAAATCAAACTACTAATTAGATAGTCTGCAAAGCAGTGCCTTTCATTTATGAACGCCAACGGGCATGGAAAGAACCCTGTCATGAAAATGTGCCACCAGAATGAAAAAATAATAAATGATAATGACAATCAAGATCCTCATTGCATTTTTGGCTCACTGACAATCGTGAGGGCTTTCGAGGTGACTTAACTGACTTGGAAGCCATATTTTGCATGGAGAGATGCAAGCCTTCACAACAAAATTGGGAAGATACTTGATCAGGTTTAAAAGTGTTTTTTAACGAGTATCAATGCAATAGTACTCTCCAAGCCAGTCATTCAACTCAGGGGTGCACATTAAGAAAGAAAGAAAATCATAGCTTCCTATGACATTTCTTAAATAAAAGGTAAATGACTGGGAAAATGCATTAGGATTTAGAGGTATCAGGGATTCCAAATGCAGCTTCTGTGGTAGGGAAGACATCCTTGGATTATTCAGCCTGAAGGCATATCTGGTTCTTCTCCATGGAGCACCCACCATTTACACCAGCAACATACCCTTCATGGTTCTTTGTATTAGACAACAGGCAATTATATCCTACAATCTCTTTGTTTCTAATTTTCTAACGTGATTAACATGGTAAAGTTTCTGAAAGAGACAATGACCTGGTCAAACGATATGAAAGCCTGCAGAGGTTGTAAGGGCAACTGAAAGGGGCATTACTCAAGCATATGTGGGAGACAAAAAAGCGTTACATATGCAATGTGTAGAAAATGTGATCATTGCATGCTTCTTTTTCTAGCAGTTAAGTGACAGCTTTCATCAATCTCAGTCACATAACTGAAAACTCTAGATTTTATGATTTAAAGCAAAACATTAAAATAGTGAAGAATTTGGCAGAAATACTGTCAAATATTTTACTTAATTGTAGGTTGTTAACAAAAAATTATTGAGAAAAATGAGCTGATCTGTAATGTTGAGAATAATAATACAAATTTACCCTGCATATAGGAATGGATGGGCACGCACACATATAGGCATGCACATTTTCCAAATAATCCACAGAAGGGTGTAATATCAATGAAAATAATTAAAAATGTAGTTAGAGTAAACAGGATGCATGTACTAACTACGGTACAGGTTAAGTCATATACATTACAAAGAATATCACACTGTATAAATGGTTACATATTGTATATATAGCTGTATGTACTGATACATATATACTACTTTTTATATAAAATATATCACTCATATACATATACACATTTGCATAGTTGTAATTTCACCAATGTTACATAAAGAGATGCCAGGGTTCATTTCTGGTTGAAACAAGAGTAAAATATATATATTAGTGCAGTAAAATAGGTTTGCAATCTCTAGATCAAAGTTTTTACTGAAATATTCATTTAATATTTGCTCATCCATTAGATTGTAGACTCAGAAGCTTTGCTTATTGTTATGATTCCCAGTGCCTCTCATGCTTTAGGGACAGGGAGAAGGAGCAATAAATCCTTGTTGAATGAGAGAAGGAAAATTTGACTATACCTTTGACCAAAAAAATCCTATTCATCAAAGTTGAATGTGCAAGAAGAAAAATGAGCAAGTCTGTTTTTGTTCTTGGCCCCAAAACCACTTCACAGAATTGTTCACGGGAAGATTTTAAAGCCTTGTCTGAGGTCGCATCCAAAGATGCCGAGCACATGGTAAACAGTGCTGTGAACATATTACTAACAAATTCAGGGATGTTTTATGAGGCAGCCTTTTTTGTTTGCTCATAAGGCAAAACTAGATTCAGTCCAGTGGTTCTGAAAGGTTAGAGTCAGAACAAAAGAAGGGGACTTTTCTAACAGATCTGGCATCTTTCAAGGGCTATGAAGTCAACAGATTCAGGCTGAGGCATGAGCATGTGTGTTTTTAAAAGCCCCATCAGGTAACTCTCATGCAAATCCTCTTTTAGAAAAAACTTAGTCATTAAAATTTTCTCTTTTTTTATTTTAGAGAGAAAAAAATGTCTGCATGTAAAATAAAACATTTATTTAAAAAAGGACTAAAACAAATCATAATCATTTACCTAAAAGCATTAACTGAGAAACCTTACTGTGCTTGTGAATAATTTGAATAACAAACAAAATTTCTTCCCATATTTTTATAAAATAAATAATTACAAGAGAACACTTACATGCAAATAATAGCAATAATAACTAATAATGATAATATAGTAGGATATATTAAAACCATATTTACCATCTGTTTTCAAATCAATATAAATCCACAATTGTCTGTGTTTTCAGTATTACCAAAAAGTTTACCGTGCATTTCTGTATTTGAAAAAATTATCTTTATGTATGAAAGGATAATTTAAAATGTACTACAGAAGTGACTGCAATTATTTCACAGAAACTTTATAAAAACATGTCTAAGAGGCAGAAATATGAGGCATAGACATCTGGATGCTACAACATCGTGTAAAAAGACAGTGTTATGTATGATGATTAGATGCCTAAAAGCTATTATGAAAATAGAGCAATAAAAGAATCCATATGAAAAGGTATGAATCAAGAATACAGACAAAAGGAACTACTACATCAGAGTACTTTCAGAGCACATCAGAATAGGCCAGCAATCCCAGTTTTCAGGAAGGGGGATGGTGTGATGGATAGGAGTGTTAAACAAATTGAAGAAAATGTTCTTGCAATAAAATTTTAATTTCTGTTTTTCTTTCTCATTATTGTTTTCTACATGCATAATACATTCTGCAGCTATTAGATTTAATTATAAGGGTTATACTTGAAGAAATTGAAATAACAAAAGAAGAAAAAGAAAGAAAATAAAGGTAATATCTAAATAGCTTCCTTTCAATCTTTGAAACAATATGTAATTGGAGACCACAGAATTAGAAATTTAGCCTGAACACTGCCACACCATAGTCCACAATAGCAAGTAATAGTAAGCATTAATATGACCCAGGAATCAAAGCCACATTGAGACAGAGAAATACAACATCTTTCAATCACATGTAGGGGAAAAAAATGATATGAAAGTAGCAGAGGACCTGTTAGAGAAGGGGAAGGTGACAGTGGGGAAGGAGGAGACAGGAGAAGCCTGCAGAGGTGAAAGTAAGAGAAGGTAAACGAGGGTTGGATGTAAAGCACAAGGCACGCAATGCAGAAATGTCACAGGGAAGCCCACACATTTGTACAATTAATATGTATTAATCATAACTGTTTAAAGCCATAGAACAGGAACCACCACCTAGTAAGCACTCTAAATATTTAATAAAAGTTCTATGTTAGCTTTTCTAAAAAGTCCCAAAAAATCAAATACAAGTCATACAAATCCAGGCTGCCAAAGCCACAGTGATAAGTGCTCTTTTTTTTTCTGTCCATGGACATCAATGTCAGAGCTACTAGAAGAGAGAACAGCTATTTTGGTATATTTGTAACCCAAGTAGGTCATAAAAGTCTTTAAAATTATGATGATCAAACATGATAAAATTTAGGATTTGTCTTGTTTACTTTTCTCTCATTGCTGAGACAAAATGCCTGACTCAAAATTAAGGAAGGAAATATTCATTTAGCTCACAATTTGTGAAGTTTTCAGTCCATAATCAGCTGGCTCCAAGGCAGAGCAGCATGAAGACAGCAAAAGCAGCAAGAGCAACAGGGAAGGGAGAGCAAGCCTTTTCTCTTCCCTTTTATGATAAGCAGGCTACCCTCCCGCGGGTGGGTATAGTACTCATACCATCTCTGTGACCTCCTCTTGCATAGGCTCAGGATGTGTACAGAGTGAGGACACTGGCCCTCTACTCAATCACTTAAGTTTCTAAACTTCTCAATTCTAAAGTTGACACAATGTATCAACCATTACAATCCATCTCTTGTCAACTTGGCAACCAGACACATTTCTTCAAATTGGTCTCCAGATAGGAAGATACACTTACTCTTACCATTTCACAATTTGAAAATTATAACACAAGTTTAACAATTCTTAAAATCTGGTATTCTCTATCAACATTATATTACATTAGAACCATCACATTCTGCCCGTGGCCCCCCAAAGACTCATACACATCCCTTTATGTAAAAGGCAGTTAGTCCATCTGCAAGAATTGCCAAAGTCCTAACAGTTTCAGCATTGCTGAAAAGTTCAAGTCCCAGGTCTCCTCCAAAAAGTAAGGCAAACTCTTAGCTGCAAGCCCCTGTACAAATGAAAAGTTAGACACACCCAACATTCAACAACACAAAATAAACATTTTCATTCCAAAAGTTACAAACAAAGGGATACAAAGGATTGGGACAAAAGCAAGTTCAAAATCCAGCAGGGCAAACATTAATAGTTCCATTTCCAGTATCTGGAACAATGTGTGGCAAATTGTGAGCTCCAAAAGGTTTGAGTGACTCCACCCCTACGGTACTTCTGGTGGTTATAGCTCCCACAGCATCTCTCTTACACCTGCTTTGCTCCCTCCTTGCAGCTTTCCTTAGATGGTTCATGTTCCTGGCTTCTCCAAACTTGTGAAGCCTCCACTGCATCTTTGGTTTCACACACTGCCCTCTTGGGGGCACAATGCCTGGCCTCCCAGACCTTCTGAAATCTAGGTGGAAGCCTTTTTTAACCCCATGACTCTTGCATTCTGCATGCACCTAAAACCAGCTCCATATGGATGATGTCAACATCTGCTGCCAACTGGAGAAGTAACCAAACTTCCTCTCTCTTAGCTATAGGGGTTGAGTACCTGGATCGTTGAGCACTCTGAATCCAGTTCTGAGGAACAAATGCTCTAGGCTATCACCATTCTGGAACACTGTAGTCTGGGGCTTTCTTCTCTGAGCAAAGTCTTTCACTTTTGCAGGTTTGAGGCTGCAAAGGGTGGAGACTTCCTGCTTCTTGTGATGCCCTCAGGCCTCTATTCTCCTGTTCCTTCTCAGCAATCAAGAGCTCCTGTGGTCTACCTTGGCAGTCCACAGCTTTACTGGAACTTTTTTTCTGGCCAAACTC